ACCAAAACTATCTTATTTTCAAAGACTAAAAATATATTTAAACATTTCTTCTCTCTGTACTTTATAAAAAATACATCCAAATTCAAATGTTTTTTTAATCCTTCAGGTTTGCCCCTGTTTAACGCAATTTGTCTTCCTCAGTTACTCACACCCATGTGCCTCAAAAACATAAAATGAGAAAGCTGTATGCGACAACAATAACATGCCGTGGGGGCATCGTGAAAACAACATGACATGTTTGTCAACACCATCCTTTAATTTTCCATGCTGCTGCTGTGTCAAAAAAACCCAGTGGAATCAAAGCTAACTAGAGGCTACCTACATATACACATATATAGCGTCCAGAGAAAACTATAATAGTTAATGCATCAAAATGAAAAATTGGTCAGAACCAGAAAGCCACATGTTTTGACCAGTTCTCTACACGTTCAATTTTGTACCCACTTTTTTTTTTTATAAAACCTGTGTTGGATTTCGAAAACTATTAGTGTATAGCATTTGGTCATTTAATAAGTTTTAAGTTCATTGACTAACACTTGCGTTTTATTTGGATCACCGGTACCAGATCGAAAGGAGTAATGAATTATATATATATAAATGATTTAGGGGTGTGTTTGGAACAATTTATGGAACTTAATTAACTCATCACATCCTGAATTTGAATAATAGTTTTTAAGTTTAGACAACTAAGTGAGTTAAGTCGAATCACTCTTTATATTTTTAAATTAGACTCTCGTTCAAAAATTAAAATGTCTTAAACAATTTAGAATAATACGTACAAGTTGATTAGGTACTTGTAAAAGATTGACGTTGTCACCATACACATACTGAGTTCCATTTCTATTATCGTGAATTGCTAGAATGCAGAAGTTGCAATTTAGGTTCAAATCAATCACAACCATAGAATTTACCTTTTGCGTTTGGGATTTGGGACTTGAGATTTGAGTTCAACATTTTATTTTTATGAAATAAGTCCTGCTTAATTATTTGATAAATATAGATAAAAAAAAATCACTTTGTTTAAAGAAACCACCTCATCAATGATAAATTTAAAATATTTAATTAAATATATTATTATTTCTTCCCATTAAAAAAATATTATTATTGTCATTTTTCTCCACAAGATAATATCATAAATATTCTTTTCACATTAACCATTTAATATTGTTAACGTAAACATTACGAACGTATAAAATTGACAATTCATACAATCCTTTTTTGGCCATTGTGACTATCATTTGATGTCATAAAAAATATTCGTTAGAAGCAATGTCGAAGTGAATATTAAATGCTTTATTTTCAACGTCAGGTTTCTTAATATTCACAAAACTGCATGGAAAGTCGAGTCAATTATCTAAATTTATAGAGCGTTTAGCTTAATATACGTTCTTCAATTCATAAATTTATGGTTGATATAATTATTACTATTAGAATTTATGAGTAAAAATTAAGTAGTAAAATAAATAAATTTATTTTTATAAACAAGAAATAATTTTTATTTATTTATTTTGCATAAGTTCTTTTATTTAAATTCTTTAAATTTTAAGAGTATAAGTTATTTTTAATTTATGAAAGATTTATTTATTTTTTATATTAATTTTTTTATAGGTATTTTTTTTATAAGTTTATCTAAATTGAACCATATAATAGACAAAATTTGAATTAAAAAAGTATTTTTGTCTTTCAAAATTTTGTCTTCTAACTTTGTTTTAATTTATTTTATTTTATTGACTTTAAAAATATTTTAAATAGATCTTTTTCATCAAAAATTCTCTTTTAATTTTTATTTCTGTGTTACATACTTCTTTATATCTCCAATATACATTATCTTTAACCTCTTTTCTTATTCTTTTTCCTTTTTATCATCTTTCTTTCTTCTTCCTCTTCAAACCACACGTAGTGGAGAATGACAGTGTCATTAGTGTCTGTTGCTACCTTGTTAGAGATTTTAAGCTAAATGTCTTATTGATCTTGCCAGTGGCAAAGGGGATGAAAGATCAGGTGAGTTTGAGAGTTATAACCTAAAAAGTTGGAGTGATAGGAGGACATTTTAAGATGGAAGACTTCTCGAAAAAGGTGTGATAAGTCATGATGAACATCTCATATGCAATAAGTGTAAGTTCAAAATTAGAGAAATTAGCGATGAGTTAATTGAGTAAAGAGGAAAGGTCGTGTACTCGAATTTTTTAATGACATTATTATTGTAGTAGTAGATGCAACAATGTTTCTCTTTTTGAGTAGTGATGACATCATCCTTTTATTTTATAGAATTTAGAAAGGAAGAAAAAGAATAAAATAGATAAGAAAAAGAACAATGAAAGAGAAAATGAAAAAAAATATATGGAAAATAATGTAAATTGAAGTCATGAGAAAAAGATAAATAACACACTAATAATGTATGCGGAAGAAAAAGTTAAAAAAATTCAAATGGAGCTAATGTTTTTAATGAAAAAATTTTATTTGAAACATTTTTAAAAGTTAAAAGATTAAAATAAAATTAAATAAAGAAATTGAAATTTACATTGTAATTAGAGAATAAATACACTAATTTTACCATAAAATAAGATATTTTATAAAAACTATTATACTTTTCTTTTGAAAATTGATTATGTCTTTCATGAAAATTAATGTGTTCCTCGTTTAAAGATTAACTAATATTTATTATAACAAAAAAATAATATTTATAATTTTTTGAAACTAATGTATAATAGTTGTAATTAAGAATTAATTAATGTATATTAGGTTAAACTTTTCATTGATGAAACTAAGATCTTACTCTTATTGTCAATTTTTTAATGTATTTTAAAAAAATTATTAGTTAGCAATGGAAACATGGGATTTTATTGAAATTATTCTTCCTTAACGATTATTATTATAATGATATTATTATTATAATGATATATGCCTGTGAAATAGTTACATTTAGTGACAACTCTTGTATTGATACCATATGGTATTAAACAAATATTATGTCTCGTGTATTGATACCATATATTAAAATATCTTAAAATTTATTTTTAAATAAAACTCTATTTCGTCTCTTTTCTTTTTAATAAGTAATGATTTACTATTAATTTTTTAAAAATATTCATCATCAAATATTAAATATTTTTAAATATTTTACAATAAAATATTTTAAAGATATATAATTTTATGATCTCTTACAAAATAAATTTATTTTTTAATCATAAAATGAAATATCACATGAAAAACATCTTGAAATGATATAACTTAAGTGCATTTATTTCATTATGTTAAATAACATATTATATATATATATATATATATATATATTAATATTATAAAAACAACTGTAATTTTATCGAATTTACTTCTGGTTTTTCAATTATATTAACATATTTTGTGAATACATTGGAAAAAAAAAAGTATCATAATGCAAAAATAACTTTTGAAATAAAATAAAATAAAAATCTTAAAATACAATAGACAAACTTCTTGTTCTAATTAATTTAATTTTATCAAAATAATTTGTTATCTTTATAGTTAGTAAATTTTAATTAAATTCTGTGACATAATTATATTGGTTATTATTATTTGTGAAAAAAATTATAAGTAATCAAACTTTTTCTGCGATAAAACGATATTTTAACAAAAGAAAGTCTCTTTTAAATTGTTTTTTTTTTTACAAATATAATTAACTATCATTCATTATTCTTTTTATCAACTTATCATTCATTATTAATGTTTAATATCAAATCATCAAGTTTAAACATGTGTATTCTATTTGGACCGGTCCAATAGATAAAAAAAATCTAGATAATTGTTTAAAAGTTTTATTAACCTCTAAGGGCCGAAGATAAACAGTTAATAATAAAAAAATTATTAAAAAAATATTTATTATATTTTTATAATTTTAATATAATAATTATATATTTTTTTATAAAAAATTTATATTTATAGATATTTAAACTTAGTGGTAAGAACTAAAGATAACAAAATTCTTATTTAAAATCCTTATTTAAATATTACTGATCATCCCTTAGAACAAAAACTATAAATTACTGTTTATCTAATGAAATTGGCATTACAAGATAAAATTTGTGATTGAGATAAATTAAATATTTAATTGATAAAACAATCCGGCCACATTGACTAAGCCACAATATTCAACAGTCCCATCCTTGTCAGATTAAGCCCTGATGAGGTTTTTTTTTTCTAATTAGAGTAAAATTAAAAAGAAATTATTAAAATAGGACATTAGCAAAATAATAAATATTTACTACCCAATAATTATAATTTTTTAATATAAATATTCACTACTGTACTGATACTTGTATTTAAAATAAATAAATAAATATTGATCGAGAAAATGTTTTGCTAATGTCCTATTTTGATAATTTCTATTTATTATTATATCAAGTTTAGCAATTAACTAATTTAAACTTTTAGAACTCTGATTTTTATAAGTGGTTTTTTTATTTAATAAAAATATAACTAATTATCAAAACAAAATTTTTAACTTATTTCAATAAATTTTGCAATCAAATTTAAATAATAAGTTGGTTTACTTGGGTTTGCGTCGCTGGATACAGAACATGATGAGAGAGAGGGAGGTTTCCTAAGAATAATAATTTTGGCATATTCAAGACATAGAAAAATATCTTATAATTTTGCAATAATAAGAAACTATAAATCATTTTGAATTAACAATGAACATGGACGTGCCTTCAACTCTTCAACTACTCCACCGTTTATATGATGTAAGTTTGAGGATTGACCCACCAATCATGCATAATCCACCATCGCCTTGGACTAATCAAAAGATGAAGCTCCAAATAATAATAATAATAACTGACAAAGGACAATAATAATCAAATAAATAAATTATCGGATAATTACATTGTTGAAATATTGGTTCCTAAGTTCTGGACAAGAGTTCATTATTTTTTAATGATACATTTTCTCACTTTCTTCTGCTTTTTTTATTTAGTTCTTTTTTGACAATTCCTTATAATAATAATAACAATGTGATGAGACAAAGGAGCGGCACTATAAGAATAGGTACCATTTCAAGGTTTCATTCACCAAAACACCTTTTGGTTTCCACTTTCCAGTGAGACAGAGTGCAGAGCAGTTTAAGTTATTACCAATGGCTACTAAGGTTTACATTGTGTAAGACATTCTCTCTCTCTCTCTCTCTCCTTATTCTTCCTTTTTCTGTCCTCTATTCTTCTCTTACTTCTACGGTTATGTTTTGATTTCAACAAGCTAAGACTCCAATTGTAGAGTTATCATTTTATGTATCCATGTTATTTATCTGAATTCTGGGTCTACTTCGTTTTTCTCCATATATAATGATCGATGGCATGATTTTTTATTTTCTCTCCTTTGTTGATTGGTTCAGCCAATTTGCTTGTTGTGGTGTTGATCTCCTCTTTCATCTTGATGCTGTCTTATAAATTTTGGTGTCCGTGGTGATATGCTTCCTTTTTCACAGTTATTTCAAAGTATTGGACTGAGTGTACTTGTTGAATTTTTTGTATAGATCTGCTTTTATTTCTTTATCTTGTTCTCTTCTCTCTCTTTTTTTTTTTATCTTTTGGAAAAATGAGGGAGAAAATTGGGTGTCTATAAGAAAATTTTTTTGTCCCTTGTTTGAGTAACATAATGCTTGCAGATAAAATATTGTTTTAGATTCTTCTATGCAAGCCACAGTTGGCACTTGTCAATTGTCATTATTGATGGTTGCTCCAGCTGCATCTCTGATAACTAAAAGGATCGGTCTTTATTTTCTTGGCTTGTTGCAATTCTGCTAAAAGTTGAATTTTCAGAAATTTTTGTTCTCAAATCCCAACATTTACTATTGGTATACAAAAGAAGAAAGCTTAATAAAATGATTTTTTTATCATAAGAATGTAATCAATTTCATCATGTTTTGTCTGGCACTACAATGGTTATAGTTAATGTATTAATGATGGGAAGGAGTAGTAATATTTCCTGAATCTCATCTTATATTTCGGGTTATAGTGACTGATCTTAGGCATTGCTAAACCCAATTTAAACATTTTCAGCATAGCTTATTTGTTTAGTATCATAAGACCAATCTCATCTTATAGAATCTCCTCCTCCTGAAGTTATAACTAATATGTACTATATTGCTCTGTCATGAATCTAATTGAAATTTGCATTACTTGTTTAGTTATTATTCTATGTATGGACATGTTGAGAAGCTAGCTGAAGAGATAAGAAAAGGGGCTGCTTCCGTGGAAGGAGTAGAAGCAAAACTCTGGCAGGTTCGTAATGATAGTCTCTCTCTAGTGCTTCTATCAAAATTGGCTTCTTGCACCAAAATGTTCAAATATTAATTTGTCTTTTAAGATGATTTAACCATTTTATACCCTTCATATCCTTATAAGTCAGAACAAATGGGAATTTCCTTTGTACACTCGCACAATATATATATATATATATATATATATATATATATATATATTTATTTATTTATTTATTTATTATGTATATAGGTACCTGAAACATTGCCTGAAGATGTCCTTGGGAAGCTAGGAGCACCTCCAAAGAGTGATGTTCCAATTATTACACCCAATGAACTTCCTGAGGCAGATGGTGTGCTGTTTGGTTTTCCCACAAGGTTTGGAATGATGGCTGCCCAATTCAAAGCATTTTTAGATGCAACTGGAGGACTATGGCGCACACAAGCACTATCAGGAAAGCCTGGTGGCATCTTCTATAGCACTGGTTCTCAAGGAGGTGGCCAAGAGACTACCCCGTCAGTTTCTCAATTATTCTTTCATGTTTCCATATCACTAGTTCTTTTGTATCCACTCAGCATTGGATATGAAACTAACACAAAATTCAGAGCCAATTTAGTCACTTTTCTATATTGTTAAGATGTCTATATTAGTTAGAAACATAGCTAGAATATTCCTTATAAAGTTTGAGTAAAACCTCCTCTTTGAATTAATTTTTGCAAGTGAATTAGGCCTAATTTTTTAACACGATATCAAAGCTTATCTGAACACTCCTTACAGAAGTAAATCTCTTCTTATAAGCTAATTTTTTAGAGTGAATTAGGTCAATTTTTTTAACTTATAATTTTTATCTTACAATTTTACAGGTTGACATCTATTACTCAGCTTGTTCATCATGGAATGATTTTTGTGCCCATTGGATATACATTTGGTGCTGGCATGTTTGAGATGGAGAAGGTTAAGGGTGGGAGCCCATATGGTGCAGGAACTTATGCTGGAGATGGCTCAAGGCAGCCTTCAGAATTAGAATTGGCCCAAGCTTTCCACCAGGGAAAGTACTTCGCCGGCATTGCAAAGAAGCTAAAGGGATCCCAATGATTTTTATTCTCCATACATCTCCCACAGCATATTATGTATCCAGTTACCATATTGTCAAACAAAATAAGATGTTGGTAGGAAAAAAAAAGGTTGAGAAAATAAATTAATATTTCAAGTTAAATACAATTGCTGTCATTCCATAATGTATCTTGTGCTATGATAACAAGAATATGGTAATTAATATTGAAAGCTTGGTGTTAATCAAAACTTATCAGTCATGATCATTATCTAACTATTTTGATTTTTGGTAAATTGATTATCTATCTAATTTCATCAGCCATATTTCAATGGTGTGCAAAGTTGGAGGGAATAATTCATTAGAATGAAAGAAGGAATCAATAGATTCTTCTTTGTTTGTTATTGCTATGAATATGAATATATGATGAACCATTAATAGTCAGACGCAGCCGTAGAATAATATTTTAATCTTCTTCCTTGTCCAACCAGCTGGCCATTTCGTAAATCTTTTGAATGCAATGACAATGTACTTGCTAAACTATTAACAACAATGAAGCGCAGTTTGTAATGGGATTTAAATCATAACCATATATCATTATAAAAAATGAAGGAGGAAAACTAAACTAAAATTTATAAGTTAATATTGTGGATAAGCAAAAGCTGTAGAAATCAATCAGATATCTAATAGTATATCGTATTGGTATCTTATATTCACAAATAAAAGTTTTGGTTATGTACTATTTTCCTAACCATAAAGTATGATTTGTTTCAATATTGACTTGAAGCTACATTAACCATGCAGGGAGAAAAAGTGAGAAGGATATAAAAAAAATATAATATATTAAAGAAAGGAACATTGTTTTGAAATAATGTCTTTTTTCTTTGGTGGGAAAGGATATCCTCCTCAAGAAGATGGCATTATAGGAATGTCGTATTTATGATGCAATACACTTGAATAAAAATATTTATGATGCGACAAAAATGGGGGAATTATTGCTACATGTGGTTGATACAAAATAATTAGGTTAGACAACTCTCTTTCTGTACAAGTTGCAAGTTCAATAGCTAATGATGTTACATAATTTTTACGTTTCCTTAGCTAATAATTTATCTTTATTTCAATGATAGTTTATCATTCCATGCTGATACATAATTTTTAAATTTTGTCTTCAACTTGACTCTTAGAATATGTTTGGACGAAGAAAGGGGTTTGGAGAGAAAAGAAAGAGGTCGTTAACTTCTTAATTTTAAATTGGGAGTGATAAAATAATCTTTATTTTATTTCTTGTTTAAAAAAATTCAAATAAAAAATTATTGATTATATTTAATTATTAAACTTTTCTTTCATTTTCCTCTAAAAAGATATGAATATTTTCCCATCATTCTTATTTGTAATTAAGAATTTTGGTCATGAAAGTTAAACATCCATTACCTTTAATTAATACCATATTGTTCTTACACAATTTTTGGGTCCAACTTACAGAAATTTTACGAAGCCCAGTTAGGAAAAACTTCTCCACTGTTCTGGACCGAAAAAAATTATTGTGGGCATTTATGTTACATTTTCATTAATTATTAAATAATTTTAAATTTATAATATAAAAAATATTGTTAAATGTAAAATTAAAAATATACCTAAACTAAAAATAAAGACACAAAGGTGCTTACTTACTCCATCTCATTAGGCTTCATCATGTTCAAACCCGTTTTGTGGGCACTTACCCACACTAGATTCAGATCCTCATGAGTCAAGCCCAAACGTCATATTAAAAACTTCAAGTGGCCAACCCAAACTCAATATATATCTTTGACCCAAAACCAAACCCAATAATGTGCTAGACAAACCTGGACTCAAAAAAACAAAAATAAAATAAAATTAAAAGGAATGTTTGCAGAATTTATCTCTGTTTTCACTTTCAGCCCCAAGTTTGGCATACCACATTCCTAATTATTATTCTTATAATTTGGGATCAATAATCACTGTCAAGTAACATTATGCTTAAGTCATTTAGGTCCTTTTCAAATGAGAACATTTCATTAAGGTCAAGCATGAAGCTTGATTACACTAAAAAGGGTAAAAAGTTTTCAAAGGAGAGTTTGTTACCCCAGGTATGAGCTATGGGAGAATCTGGCAATGGTACAAGGACACCCTTTCAAAGAATTTAAGCGATATTTTGATGTGTGAATGGATTACAAAAATCATAAAAGAAGGAACCCTTTTCATGTTGGAATGAAAACTTGCATTACAAGATTGAAACACGGGCTTTCATATTGATTAGCCTAAACAACAAAAGAAAAGTTGTGTATCAAAGATAGATGTGTGAGGAGTCATAATACGCACGCTTTATTAATATCGCAATGATGCTTCATGTCTTTTTCTTTCCTACTTTATGAAATTCCTTTATGTATCTTCATTTATATCAAGTAACCACACCTTTATAAAGAAAGCCAAGATTTGATATCCATGGATTACTCCAGAGAGAGAGAATAAAAATGATAAGCGTGTGCCAAGAGATACTAGCCATTACATTTTTAATTGCTAAAGTACTACTTTTTCATGATTAGTCACTTCTCATACACGGATTCTTCAGCTTTAAGCTTATTTCTCTTCTCATTATTTAAGTTTAATTATTTAGCCCTATCATTGGTCCACCGTTATTATATCTACACTTCATATAAGCTTTTATACATGGTTAATTTTTTTTCTCCCTATCCATTCATCTTTCACTCATTCTTTTTTGTCTTATATATATTATGCTCCATGGAATGCTTATTGTAATTATCATTATGTTAAAATTTTTAATCTGTGACGAGTTCGGTATACTTAAATAATTTACGAGGTTTCTAAAAGGCATACATGTATAAGCAACATGCATACTTTTATGTGTATTACGTACCCATAACTAAACTGAAAGCATGTTAATATACTTGCAATGATCTCTTTTTCTTTTACTGTCTGCAATGATCTCGTTGATCTAATTCGGTCCACATAATATCCCTGAGCACTCCTGCAATATTATTTCCTATGATAACAAAGAAATAATAACGACATATTTTTTTACAGATTAGTAAAAAAAATGTGCTAAACAATAAATTATTGATAGAATATTTCCTTCTTGTGAAATGACTAAAACATGCATACACATCTATTTCGATTAACTGAAAGAGAGAGTATTCATTTCATGTATTGCATCTTATATTTGTCATGTGTCAGATCTTTCTTAAATGAATATTTTCATCATGTGTGTTACATATTTACTTTACTTTATTTAGTATATAATAATATCAAGCACTTTTTCTAAATAACAATATTATAGTGATCGTGTGATTCAGAATGTTTTTGTTTTAGAGTTATTCATATCTACCTTTTCCTTTCATCTTTCTTACTTCTCATTGTAATAAATTTTTTACAGTTGTATACATTAATATCACACAATGATAGAAAATTTGTATTAAATTTTAATATTTGCATATTTAAGTAAATTTTTGAATACCATGGGATGGGAATTATATATTTTTATGGGAAAATTACATATTAAACCACATCAATTTTCAGAACAAAATGATTAAATATTTATATCACATGAGGTGGAAATTTTTACCTCATGCTGTTAATTTATATATTATAAGAATAAATATTTACTTCATATGGTATTAGATTAAACACATTATTTTTTAAATGAAAAAAATAAATATTTAATTAAATTACGTGTGAATAAAAACTTAAAAATATAGTTATATGTAATAAGAAGTAAACACACACGCATACAAAGATAAATAAATATTTATATCACATGACACATGACGTTAAAACATTTAAATGAAAACATTATAAGTTTTAAATTCGAAAAATAATTTTTCACATCATATATGAATGAATATGTTATTTAAAAATATATTAACATATAAATCACGACTATATATGTGAAAATTTTACATAAGATGATTGGTATCTAAACAGATCACAAGTGAATAAAAATTATACATAAAAGTGCATTGATATGTGAATTATAAGATTAAATATTTATCTTATGAGAATAAAAGTTAAATGAAAATATATTAATATATTGATTATAAGATAAGTATTTGCTTCATATATTAGAAAATAAATATCTTCCGTAACACCATATTAATATCTAAATCATGTAAATAATATTTAATTATTTATAAATAAAAATTTTACAGAAAATATATTAGTATATAATTTAAATCATATATATGAATAAAATTTTGTTATATGTAGAAAAACATCGCATGAAATATTAACGTATAAAAAAGAGGTAATGTTTAGGTATATATAGTGCACGGTATTTTACATTTCTACTCATAATCCAAAAGATGGAAAACCTATGTACGAAATACTAATGTGAATTAATACCAATGAGGAGCACTTTGTCATCGCACGAATAAAGTAAGGACTCATTGGATTGAGTATATATATATAAATAAGGGTAAAATTTGCTGAGGCAAGACATTTCAGGAAAATTAAACATCAGACAGGTAAGAAACAACACAATGGTTTTAGACAAAACTAATAACATGATAAAGGAAAATATGGATGAAAAGCCAATTCTTATTAATGAAATTATGGTTGATATTGTAATATTTAATTTCACAATATCATACCCTACCTTGGGACGTGAATATTTCCATGCGTATTACTATTAAGTACAGAATGGTTTGGAAATGGACTTACAGTAATTGAATAATAACAAATTACGATGGGTATTTTGTTAATAATGTGAGAGTGCGAGATCACTGACCAATCTGTATTTTTATATAAATTTCTGTATTTCTTCTATATACATCAACTTTTGTACTGGAAGCATTTCCATATTCTTACATACATAAGAATTGTGATTTGGAACATCAGAATTAATTGGAAAATGTTTTGTAAACATTTATAATGTAAGGAGCCTATACTTTAAGTGGAATAGATAAATAAATAAACAATACATGTGATAAATAATGCAGTAAAAAATAAAACGTATTAAATAAATGTTTGCACTATTAATTGTTTGATTATTTATGAATTAAAGTTAAAATTAATTTATAAGGATGAAGCTGGAGCATAATGATTCACTCCTATAAAGACAATGATTTGATACGTGCTTGAAAAGCCACCGCCGCGTGCCGTCATGGATGATTTATAAACACACTATTTGAGGATAACAAAAAGAAGTAACCCTAAAACAGGGAAGTGCCGAGTAATTAAGACACTAACCACCGTCCCATTTCACTCAAATAAACAAATAAAAGAGTAAATTAACCCAAAAGCAATGAATATTAAATAGCAGAACATATGATCCACTTTGTTCATTTGTTTTTCTTTAAATAATAAAATTAAAGTGGGTACGAGCCCTTTAATGATTTGAAATATATACTAGAATAACATTTGGATCAGCAGGAACAAAAGGCGTTTTAGCTGCGAGCCCCATCTGCTAAATTCAGGCATATAATATTTTCTCTCCAACAACAACACCTCGAAAACTCTATAATCTAATATGTAAAATGCCGCTGAATTTAGCACTTGTTCCTGCCGCTCAATGACTTTAATTAATTAATTAAAACACTAAAACTTGGAGCTATTAATCTAAAGGCAACTATAGCTAACTAATCTATATATTCTCTTCCACTAGTCACTAATCAATTTTCCTGTCCATCTTTGAAGAGTCATTTTCCTTTTTTTTTTTTCTTTCCCTTTTGTTCTCTTCAGCTTTAATTTTCTCTTTACCAATCTCGTCTTCTTCTTCCTTTTAGTTTATACATACATATAGTTATTATAGTCATGATCAGTGCTCCATTGGCAGAGTCTCTTTGGCATGAATTAGCTTTCACTACCGGCCAATGAGTGTGCCCCCGAATGTAGGTGTCCAGAAATCAACAGTGGTCTCATTAGCCACCGGGAAAGTGCTTGAAATCGGTACCAAACACAGCCCTCGGCTTCTCAGATCTTGTCTAGGCCCTTCCGAGTCCATCAGATTATCACAACCCTTCAAACACACAGATATACAAATATTTCAAAATCCTCAACAGAAGTATTTATATTCAGTGCATGTACTCGGATTCGCTACAGTCAAATTCCGACACATTTGCTGCATTTAATGAAGTAGTGCGACATAAAATATTGAATGGACAAGTATAAAATTTTCCAACAATTTATGTTGCGACATATCATTCCCTCTAGTGATTTTGACTGTAGTGAATTTGGAGGCCAAGTGCACGTGTGAGTTGCTAGAGCCAAGAGATAAAAGTATTTGGTGTACCTGCTGCTGTTGAACGGGAGCCCCATTTTTCATATATGGAGTGCTCAAAACCTGAAATTAAGAAACGATAATTATATTTAAACGTGCACTTAAGAAAATTTCTAATGTTTAAACTTCCCCTTTTGAAGAATTTAAATATATGCGCCTAGCTAATATATAATTAGGGTTTTCTATAAAACAAAGTTAGAACAGTGGAAACATACACTGACTTGGTCATGAAGGAACTTGATGTACTCGATGGCTTCGTGAAGAACTGATGCCGTGTCCGTCTATTAAGAAAAACAAGAATATAATATCTGGTTAGTTTTTACCCTTCAACGTCTTAAGAAAGGTAAAGGTTTAAATTCAATCATATCACAGTCAAAACTGCTGTGGATAATAAACGAAAGTGAAATTAAGAACATCCAAAAAAACATTCACCTTTCCGAAAGGTGAAACCAATTGCTGAAGAGCAGTGATGCGGTCCCCCAGCTTTTCCTTCCGAACCTGTCCATGTACACATATCAACTTGCTGAATTCTAAAGATTAATTATTATTAAAATTGAACTAAGTAGTCTTGCACAGTCAGAAAACTTTGATAATAAAAATTAAACTTATAATATTACACTACCTTAAAAGTTGGTAATGGGGACGGAGTCTCAATTCTTGGCCTCTTGAAGGCAGGTTCAGAAGAATTTTTCTTCGTTGCTGATGTTGTGTCTGGAGATTCTTCTCTTTTGAGCTGCACTTAAACCAATTCAACTTTAGTTCCCCCAAAACCCTAGCTTGCTAGCTATGGATTGTTTATAGTTTATAAACTTGGAAACAGTTAATTATTTAATTACCTTGTTTAATTGAGTATTTGGGCAATTGGGTTTCTCTTCAAATTTTGGCGTCTGATATTGTGCTTGTGATGAAGCAAAAACACCTGCTCTTAAGTCATTGAGTGCCTCAGCTGAAGCATTCCAGAAAGGAGTATTGTTCGAAAAGTGCAATCCACTAAGTTGCTGCTTTGGCATTGAGGGTTTCAGAAGGGAAGAGACTTTGGACCATGTTGGTGATGGTTCATTGGAACATGTCCCATAGTTTGTTGTAGATGAATAGGACATGGTGGGGTTGGTGAAAAGGGAGTTCTGTGGTTGTGGCTGAGGCTTAGGGTCAAATAAGCTTTGTATCAATGTTGAGGGGTAACCATAGGAAGCAGACCCAACTGGGAAACCACCAGATAATCCAGTGCTGGTAACAGAATTCAGACTTTGCTGATCCAAGGAAAACTCTTGGTTCATTGGCTTGTAAGCATCAACGGTTGACACTTGGCTTCCACCATCAGATGAGAAATTCTTTGGGCTCCAATCATTTTGGATTTGTGAATTATTACCACCCATGCCTGTTTCTTCTTGAAATACAGAATGGAAACTGCTCTCTTGCCTTCTGAAGAGAAAGATGTCATCAAAAGATAAGGATATGGCAAGGAGAATCCAATATGGATAGAAATAGTGAAGTACAATACTCATACATAAGTTGATAAGATGAAGTTCCTCTTCTTTCAAATGAAACAATGAGAAAAAGCTTTAAAAAAAGAGATAAACTTTTTCTTCCTTAGTGGAATCTTTGGACCACAACAACAATACCATATATTTGTTTTGTGAAAGATATCAAATTCTGAAAACTTACAACAGAGATTGATTCCAATTCGATGAAGTAGAAGATGACATGCCAAAACCCATCATTTGCAAGGGGGAATCGATCAAGATGCTACCAGTTCCACTAGCCGAGTCACTCTTCTGTGCCTTCTCAGCATCGAGAAAACCCAAAAAACTATCCGAAACCAAGTTGTTACTTGCTCCTTTCAAATCCATGAAATCAGTTTGCCAGGTGCTGTAGTTACCAGCATCAGCTGCAGCCACGGAACAGGTTGATGATGAACTCATCATCAGAGGGAATACACTTCTTGCTGAATTAATATTCCACCAATTTTCACCACAAACCGCAGCAGCTTGAAACTCCTCAGCCATGGCAAGATTTGATGCTATATGTTTATCTACAGAATCTGTGTAGTTCTACTGAATTTGCTGATTTGTTTGTATGAATATCTTTGAGCTCTTCTTCTTGAGTTACTTGCTCTCTATAATAATGGCTTCAGAACCACACACTACAAGCTTATTGGGATATAAGCTGTTAGGGGGTTGGGAGGTTTTATATATGAAACGGTTAGAAGGGTACGGAGTGGCGAGATTAGTGAAACGCGGTTGACATTACAAGAGGATGATTTGACAAATGAAGCAAAGAGAAAGAGAGAATTTTGAATCCAATTCTAATTCTCATTTTTAAAATAATAATTTGTATATGTATCTATGATTAATTAATTGTCCCTGATTTGTTTTCTCTATCTTACTTTTTGTTTTAAAAAAAATATGGAACAGTATCTGATGAAGAATGATGATGATAACTTGTGGACAATTTGTTTCTTATGTATAAAGTCTTGTGGGCATGATGGTATTGACTATAGTGGTGACAGTGATGGGGTTTGATCTACGTGCCATATCTTGGATGTACAAGATCATAAGGTTGAAATCCCTTGGTTTCTAAAATGCGGTTTATAAAAACAAATAATTTGTGAACAACTTTTTGAAAAGTCAAATCGAGTAAAATGGAAATATAAAAATGACCCAAAATAAATAACTAATAATTGATCAAATCATATAATTAATTAACTGTTTATTAATTATTTAACGATTGATCGATTTCCTACTTATTTGAATTTCACCCATTCATTTTTTCATGAATGGTATTCAATTATCATAATTCAAAAGGGTGTGATAAACTTGAGGACCATTTATTGGTCCAAATGTTTATCATTGAAAACGTTGTAGTACAACTACCAAGATGAATTAAAAAAATTAAAAAGAAAAAACAGTAGGTAAGGGAAATGCACTAATATTTCAATTTTTAAATAAGTACTGGGCGGCCAAATCGCTTTACGTAGGCGCGTGCGCGTCACACGGGTTAGTGAAACTAAAACACAAGTATGTAACTAATACTTGACCTAACATAACTGTAGCAGGGACCAAATGCATATGTCAACAATGACATTGTTCCCTTGTAGAAATTAGCTGATAGATAACATTCCACACTGAATGAATACATATTTGGCTTTAGGTAGTCAATTTAATAATGTAATTGTTTAGATACTTTCAACTAATGCAGAATACTTGTGTTTCATGTCAAATACTTAATAAATGTAGCACTCCCTTTTTGGGAAGAAGAAAACTGAGAAACCTACGTAATTAGATCAATGTCAACCCCTACTATTTGCCCTCCACCTTTTGTTCTATGTCTTTCAGATTATATTGCGAAACATAATCTCATCATTTTGACTAAGGTCTATAATTTGGGACATACCTTTGTGTATATTTTATTTGCACAATTATATAAATTAATTATAAGTCATATAATACCACTTTTAAATTTTAAACATAACATGATTATGTAACAAAAAAATGTATATAAATTATTATCAAATACTAATAATGATGATGATATATTCTAGAATCGTTTTTTTGGAAATTACTATATCTTAATAATATTCTTAGTTTGATAGGTGACCACTGAGTACATTTAAATTGATCTAATCCAACATAAAGTATAACAATTGAAATTAAAACTAATCAAATTAAAACTAAAATAATTTTTATTATATCAAATCTAAATTTAGATTAAAATTTGAATATAAATTCAAAATTTATAAACTAAACTTCTGCCATGTAATTTTATTTATGTAATTATTTACAACTTTTGATTTATAATAGTAGATATTCACAAAAATAATTATTATATCAATTACATCATCTCATATTTTGTATAAATTTACCAATTATGAATTAGTTTTTTTTTTGTTATTTCTTGCTCTTTTTATTACATCTTTTGTGTTTCATGTTTGAAGAATAAATTTACGACGAAATAGGTAGAAAGAACAAAATATGAACAAGATATTTTGAACTAACCCACAATATAATTTTAGGTTTTTCCTTAAAATGTTATATTGTGTATTATAATTAGTACATTTGTTTTTATTTTTTGTTAAATGCTGGGTTGTGTATAGTGTGATTATGACATTGATGATATGTTGATCTTATTTGTGAAATAGTATTAATTTAGTATTTTAAATAATATTAATAAAACAAGAAAAAAATTGAATCATTCAATGTATTTTAAATAACTACTAATTAAATTTAATTGAATTATATTTAATATTGTAAACTAATATAAACCAAATCTTAGTTTTTTGTACGTATCAAAAGATTTGATCAAAACAATTTTTTGCTCAAAAACCAATTTGAATCAGACCGTAAGCACTCTTAAATTTCATAGATTTTCCTGTGAAAAATACTGTTTGAAGATGAAAATTGTTAATCAATTCAATCTACACAATTGATATAAACTAAATTTACTCCAGAATTTCTTCTATAATTTAACGTAATGATGTACTAACATTCTCTTGTTTGTCTTTAAGAGAGGTAAACTGGCTGAATAGTACAATTAGATTTATGGGTCCTAAACTCTTGTCCTTTGCATAAACAAATAGCATGCAATAATATAACTTATCTGTAAACAATATTTTACAAATTGATAACTTAGATTTTTTAACATTCTCTTTTTTTAAAAATAAATTGATATATGTAGTTATATAAAATATTAGGTAGTGTTCCATATATAACATAATATAACAGGAATATGAGATTAAAATTGTCCGCATGATTACTACGTAAACCAATAAATTCAACAGGCGAGTTGCTGAGAAATTAAAATTCTAAAGTTGAAAAGTTGCTCTGAACCATCTGAAACAAGTATACTTTGTTTAGTTCAAAGTAAACTTCACCCATTTGAATAATCACACAGTTTCTTACAGGTCAATATCCTGCCAATTTCAAAGAAAACAGAAACTTATGGATCTGACCTAACTTCTGTTATTGGATCCAAATCAACTCACACCTTTTTTAATTTATTTTTCTCCTGTTCTTGTCAATTTTATATTTATATTTATATTTTATTTTATGTTGAAAATTTTGTTGTATAATGATATTAGTTAGGAATTAATTATCAATGGGTTTCTCGTAGCACTTAGTAGTATGTGAAGACAACATTACGCACTGCACTTGAGATGTGTACTTTGAAAGCCAATACAAATATATTCAGTACGCACTCTTCATAATATATTTTTTATTATTAATTAAAATTTATTAAAAATTATATAGATCTTATTCTTAAATTAATTTTAATAAATAATAAAAAATATGTTAAAGAATTTGTTACTAACGTCACTCTTTTAATTTGCCGCTGCAACATGAGTCTTTTGCTAACTTGGATGCATCCAATAATCCAGTTAAAAACTCTACAAGGACGTTCAATTGCTCTTATATGCAAGTTCATCCCGGTTCTTCTAGTCTCTTTTTTTATTTAATTGCTTTAAAGTGAGGTAACGTATAAATTAAGAAAGTACTTAATAATTTATTTATGGTTAAAATTAATTATAATTACAAAATATATTTTTTAATTTTTTGTTATTTAAATCACATATATTTTTTATAGGAAGTAGTATTGTTCGATTTAAGCAATGCTACTATAAATCATAAAGTTTTCAAAACTGTATTTAAATATATATTTTAATTTTAATTTATGATACATAAATTTATAGTTTTTAACTAAAAAATGTTTAACTTTTTTAGTTTGTACATTGCTACGATAAGAAATAAAGTAACATATGTCATTTATTAAATATTTTGCTTTCAATTCATAATATATAAATTTGTACTTTTTTATTTTACATATCTTCTATTTTAGAAGCGTTAAGTTTAGAATAATTATATCTAATAAGATTATAAAAAATATATAATAAAAAATGTGATCTCAAATGTATATATGCAGGCATGAATTAAGTTACTTTAGAACTAAGTTTAACACTAATTATTATAACTCTTTATAAATATTAAATAATTTTCATCCAACTATAAAATATTATTTTTATATTTATTATATATAAAATTTTAAATAAATAATACATCTATAAATATATAATTTTATAATTAATATTTATTTATATTTTTAAAATATATATTATACATGAAAACAAAGTTACTTAAAAATTATTCATTTGTATGATTATTTTGTATATTTAATTTATTTAAAAAAATAATAATAATTGATTAAATTAACTAAATTCAATATTTATAGAGTCATTAGATAAAGTAATTCGATTTTTTTATGAACATACACAAGGATGAATCAAATTACATTGGTATAAATTATATAAAAAATAAATTATTTAATTATAATTTTATTATTATTCAATTTTAACAAAATTTAATTCAAATATATAATTATGGTAATATTTAATTATAAATTAATGTCATATATGTAAAAACAACATTTTGTATCAAATATTACATATATATATATGTTGTATTCTTATGTAATTCCTTATGTTGAACACTCGATATATAATTCATTTATTGATAAAGTATTTGTGCTTTGTATTTATTTAATTTTCAAAATAATTATTATTTACAAATTTCATTTTATTTCAAAATTTTCATTTTTTTTAACTAAGAAGATATTAATTACTTTTAAATTTTTTATTTGTCATTTTTATCAAGTCTAATAATGAAAATATTAATGAAGAGAAATATTTATTTAGTTATAATAATTTTTCATTTAAACAAATCTTTAAAAAAATTTAAATGATTATTATTTTAACTTAAAAGATCGATAGAGTGATTTAAGGCAACATTACATTACATGTGTAATCAATTTATTTAGTAAGATGTTTGGTGTTTGAATATTTATCGTGTTCGTAATTTATTTAGATTAAGGGCAATTATAAATTACGAGTTAAGATTAGTCTTGAATGTTTTAAATCTATGAATATTTTGTGGTTTTTTGTTTGCCTTAATATATATATATATATATATATATATATATGTATATATATATATATATATATAATTTAAAATAAAATTTATTTATCCTCTAAAAAATTATTAGTGTTGTCAAATTTAACTTAAATCACGATTTTGTTTAGATCAGGTTGCCTTGTTATATTATGAAAAAATTAATCAAAATAAATAAAGTATTTAAAAAAGAATTAAGTAAAATAAAAAAATAATATTTAAATTTACCAGTATATTTTACTAATTCACTGTAGTTTTCATTCATTTTTTAATTAATGTGCTTCAAAGACACGTTTGAAGACCTTATAGTACTATTTATTAGTCTCTCTAAATGTAATAAACAAAGCAATTACTGGTCCAATGTATTCTACAGACGGGGAAAGTTGACGTCACGCTTATGACCTCGTTG